TGAGTTTGAGTAGAAATTAGGCTTTTTCACAAACTTTGGAAAAGTTGAAAACCATTTGAAATTGGCTCTAGGGTGATAGCTTGCCCTAGATAAAGAACTCCCATACCTTTACTAAGATTCCCCAAGAAATTTGATGAAGAAAACATCTTGCATCCACAACCCTAGCTCCACTTCTTCTTCTTCTTCTCTTCTTTCTCTCTTCTTCTCTTCTTCACTCAAGAACCCTAACTCTTACTCTTTTAAAAATGAAACAAAAATGATCCACAATCAGCCTAACACAACACTATAACCTCAAAAGAAATTATTTGTGAAAAGACCAAAATGCCCTTAAATTTCCGGACGGACTCCCTGCCAACTGCCCAACTTTCAAAGGGCCTAACTCGCTCATACGAACTCGGAATCGAGCAAAATCGGTGGCGTTGGAAAGATCGTTCCAAGGGATTTCCAAACATAACTGGAACTACTCCTGGATCATCCTGATCTAGGAGTTATGACTGCTCAAAGTTGGCCAAAAACTCACTGATTTCCACACTTGGCCGAATTTCCAGATTCTGATTTTTTTTCCAAAAATGACTACTTCCAATTTCAAGCTTCTTCATATTCATTTTAAATTGTCGGATGTTACATAAATACTCTCTCGAGCAACTTACCCCGAATCAAATGGGTTCCTCTCGAACACCCACTTGCCGCATGAAGAATAGCCTCCGCCTTAGCCCACTTACTCTCTCAAGCTGAGTGTGTGGGAATGAGACTAGGGTTCACTCTCTGGAGCTGAACCTCATGTCGACCCACTCCCACCGGCCATCAATTTAGTAGTCTTAGTTTTATGACCTCTCTCTTGAGCAAGCCGAAAACACAAAGGTGAAATCGTATTAGCAACTACAATTTAATTAAGTTCCACCACAACTACTAAAACGAAATCACATCTAAACAACTAATAAATCATCAACAAGCAAGACCCAACAGATAATCTAACCCATATTCACAAAATAACACCCCAAGAATTGGGGTTTTAGCTACACATGTAAAAGAGATAGAAATTTATACCAATATGAGTTTGCATTCAAATGGGCATGAAGATTTAAGTCTTAAAACAAGCAAAGAGTGAAGAATCCAAGAGACGCAAACCCAAAATCTTGGAGTTGAAGCCCTTTGAACCTTCAAGTTCTTCAAAACCCTCTCCAAACTTAGAACTCAAAAATAGAAGCAAAGTCTGAAAAATTACTGTTCAAAGATAAAAATTCGATACTAGAATAATAATTCTCAACGAGTATTTATAGTTTTCAAAAATCTGTGTTGCAATGGATCATTCAGGGTCATTAGTCGAGATTGCCGATCAACTCGGCGATCCGCCTTTTGGTAAGTTTCCTCACCGTCTTGCTCTATCCTTTAGCAACGTCGTGTTTGGATCATTGGGCGACATAGTACAACTTCACGAAACTGCTCGGTGATACGCTGACTGCTCCTTTTCACTGCCGATTAGATCCTTTCCTTTAGGGCTCAGCACACTGGAACAAAAGGCGAGGATAAGACCTTTTGGCGACTCGCCGAATGGGTTCGGCAATTCTCAAATCTTCATTTCTTCGATCTTTCAGCTACTTTTGTTCCTTTTTGCTAAGTAGTGTCCATGCTTTCCCTTAAACTTCAAATACCTAAAACTTAAGGGTTTTCATTAGATATTGAGACAAAATATGCATTTGAGGACATTGCCCTAAATGAGTCCAATTTGTAGACTCATCACACACCATGGGTGGCAAGTATTTTAATTGGATTTTAAGTCCGCCTTCCTTAATGGGTATCTTGAAGAGAAAATTTATGTAGAGCAGCCTGAAGGTCTTAGAGGAGCTGGAGACCAGGTATATTTTTTAAGAAAATCTCTTTATGGCTTGAAACAGGCACCTAGGGTCTGGTATGCACGGATTGATAACTACTTACTTAATTTGGGGTTTAAGAGAAGTTGCAGTGAAGCAACCTTGTATATTAGACTTCAAAATGATGATTTTCTCCTAGTTTTTCTCTATGTTGATGATCTGTTGGTGACTGGCAGCAGCACACAGTCTATCACAGACTTCATGGAGCAAATGAAGAAGGTCTTTGACATAAATAATCTGGGAGAAATGACTTATTTCTTGGAATGGAGGTTAATCAATCTTCTCAAGGAATCTTTGTTTCTAAGAAGAAATATGCTACTAAAATATTAAAGAAGTGTTGTCTTGACAAATGCAAACCAGTAAATACGCTTGGAGTTCAAAAAGAGAAACTAATAAAGGAGGATGAGTCTAGTTTGGTCGATGCTTTGATTTATAAAAGTTTGATTGGTTCCTTGATGTATTTATTAGCAACAAGGCCTGATATTATGTACGCAACAAGTGTGCTATCAATTGTGCATGCAACTTCATTTGGCCTCATCGTAGCCGCACATTCATGTTCGTTCAATTGATAGCACTATTAAAGTCATCGGTATTGATCGAAACCGACACTTATATTTTGCAAAAGAACAGCCACATTCAACACACGAGAGGTGGCAAAAATTTTCGGACGGGTCAAAATCATTTTATAATTTAAAACAAAAGGAGCCATAAGCTCAAACATCCACAGAAACAATGTAAACACAATTTAAGCACAAAGCCCAAATATAAACAAAACACGATTCACGAGTGGCACACAAAGGTGGGCCTTACCCCACCACAATAAAAAAAACATTTGTCCTTAAATGCAAATAACAAAATATCCAGAATTTAGAATAAAGAAAGACAGAGAAGGAGGTAGAGAAAAATCATGTCTACACAGTTGTTCCATCTGTCTGGGCATCAGTGCCCGATGTGTCAGCCTGGAATTTAATAATGGCAACCAGAGCTTCTTCAGAAGATTTAGCGGCAACTGACTTACTAAGATTGTCCAAGTCATGAGCTGCCAAAAAGGAGTGGATAGCTGTAAAGAATCCACGTCTCCACGAAGGAATAATGGGGTCTCGGGGATTTGTTCTCTTGCTGGCACTGGGCTTCTTGCCCTCATTATTCGTTTTGGGAGGATTTGTTGCCTTTGTATTTTTCCTTAAATTTTTTGCTCTTGTTTGTCGGGGTGGCATATCTCTTCCAGCTACTTTCAGTCTAGCCATTTTTGCAAGGCTTCGAGAAAAAGTTAGAAAGTATTCTGACAAAAACAAGGCAGTTCAATTGCACAATCACTTGGCTGAACCAGTTGGCGAGGCGCGCAACTACTTCGGCGGTTCCCTGAGTGCAGTGCATAGAAAAAACAACGGTGCAGACAAAGGGCGAACCAGAAGTCTTTCGGCGAGTCGCCGAATGCTTTTGGCGATCAAAGGCTTCTCGCCGAAAGTTACAAAATTCAACATCATATTTGGCATTAAATTAAAGGCGAGATGGAGATTTAAGGTGAGCCGCTGAGTGATTCGGCGAGCTCGACCTAGCTCGCCAAATGACCCAACGTGCCTGCTTTTCAACCCCGTAACCCCCGAAAACAAAATTAAGGCATGTACAACTCAAATTAGGCTTAGACCCAGTAACAATCATGCACAACCCATGATTTTTCATCCAATTCAAAGCACAACCTTTAGGAATTAACTATTTAACTTAGTACGGGAACAAATTGTGAACCTAACAGGCAAACAAATATTCTAATCCTACCAGAGAGGACCAACACACATTATCAAAGTAATGTCATCGCATTTGAGCATAACTTTTGAGAAAAGGGACGTAGGGCTCGGAAACCAACCTTTGGTGCCGATTAAGAGAAGATTGAAATGCTAGGCGGCAATGTAATCCTACACCGAGCACAAATCAACACTAGAAATACTCTAGAAATGCAAAAATATAGGAGCTAGCATGCGGGTGTGAGTTTGGGAAGACAAAAAGTGAGGGAAAATGAACGAATTTGAAACTTTTAAACCTTTGGCTTGCAAAATCGTCCCGTTTTCGCTAATTTGGCGACATTAGTCCCGATTGCCGATCTATTCGATATAACGCCAAGTAGTCATTTGCCTCGCTGAAGTTTACAGAAACCTCCATGTTTTGTGGAGGTCCAAACGACAGTCTCTGTCGGGATCGGCGACACGGTTGACCGTTAATCAATAATTTCCTATGCTCACCGAGTTTTACAGACTCCAATGCAAGATGATCTTGAGTCTAATGGCGGTCTAGTTCGGAGTCACCGAACCGTACGACGATTCACTGATTGAACTTGTTTCTCGCCAATCTGTACTTTTTGTTCACTCTCCACACTTCCATCTACACAATCAACATACCATTATTTTATCAAAGCAAAAGAAAGCAATAAATGGTTTTGGGTTGCCTCCCAAACAACGCCTTAGTTAACGTCGTGGCACAATGCAAGTCCACCCTCAAACCTGAATTTTGGGGTTGACAATAGTGTCACTAGGCAAACCCCCTTGTTGTCTCGAATTGAGGTGAGACAATATATGACCCATTTGGGAGGTGACAGTCTGGCTAAGGGTGGAGACATCTTCTTTCATGCCTTTTAACATTTTGTCTAACCCTTCAACTTTGTTGAGAATACGTAAGATCATATCCTTAGACCTACCACATTCCGAGTCCTTTTGATTTTGGCGCTCATGGGGAGACACATATCTATCCTTCTCCCCATCCTTCCAATTCGGATTACGGTCCCTCCATTCATGATCTCAATCCTTCCAACCTTCATCTCTAGCCCATCCTTGGTTACCACCCTGCCTTGGGTAGTTTGAGCGATAAACACCGCCTTGGTTGGCTAGAAAGTTTACCTCCTCGTTATACAAGGCTTCAAACTTCATCTTCTCAGAATTTGCACACCCGATCCCCACGACATTGACACCCTGGGCACCAGCCCCCATGACATTTTTGGATAAAATGTCAAGCTGTGTCATGATCTTGGCCTTGTTTTGGTCTCTCTCATGATCTTTTTCAATCTGCTCCTTAGATAGCTTGAAGGTAAGAGAAGAGACTTGGTCATCGCGAGTGTATCACGCTCTGTTGATATTTGTCATGCCATCTAAAAGTTGGGCTGCTACTGCAAAACCAAGTGTGCTTGATATAATTAGTATGGATGCTGAATTCGGTGGAACTTCCCAAGTTCCAAACACTGTGGACATGATTGGACTTGCTTGCGAAGGATCTCAAGCAATGCCAAACAGTAGCAATGAGAGCATGTTTCCTTGGGAAAGCACCAATGCTGAGCAGATGACAACAGTTGTCGGAGGAGAGTTATCAGGACAAAATGCTTTGGTGAATGTTGACACTAGTAGTGGAACTTCCAGCCATCCTATCTCTAGTATTAAGAGTGAACTTGAAGCATTACTCAGTCACTCCATGGATGAAGACAATGATATCAATTTGATATTTGATGTTGGGAAAGCCCCAACTCCCGATGCTGGGATAGCACCAATTGCTCATATCGGAATGTCTGGTTATGCAGCTGCAGGGGAGGCTCCAGCTCAGTTACCTCCCTTTACCCCCTCATCTTACTTTGGTGATGGAGTATGCCACAATTTAAACACTCTCCCTTGACGATGAAGGCACATTTAATCTAGATGACCTGTTCACAAATCAGATGTTCTGATTTGCTGCACTTGTTTTTTGAAGACTTACTCCATTATGTTAGACAAATATTGCTCTCCTTTATCTATTCTTAATCTACTTAAGACAGTTTTGCTAGACAGGTGGATTTTGGTTGAAAATTTTCAATTAAGAACTTTGCAACTATTTTCAAAGTTCTTGTCTTTGTTTTTTGTTTGCAATTGTTTGAGGGACTAAGGCGTGTTCTGGTTGAAACATAAATTGATTATTGGTACAAGAGTTACCATTACAGGTAGTATAAATGAAGGGCAAAATATTCATTTTTATATGTATTAAGAACTTTCTGCTACGTGATATGTATGAAGGACTAAAATAGTCCAACACCCATACATCAGTTATCACTTTGATCATGTTAAAGTTCTTTGTCTGGCAAGACGACGATTGTCAACTTGAATGTTTACACAAGAAACTCCTATCCAAGCATCTTTTAATTTGTGAATTCGGGGTAATTTGAGTGGAATAAGCTATTTCTTATAAACATTTGAGAGGAAATTGGAGGACTACCGATTGATTGACCCTGGAAGTAAAGAATGATAGTTCGACGAGTTCTTGTTTTCCCATGGCGGACCTGTATACTCTTGTCTTGTTGCATATAAAGGACAAACTTTTTATCCTTAACAAGTAGTAAGTAAAAACCTTTTTTCAATAGAAACGTTTTATCCTTAGTGGGTATTTGTAGCACCCCAAAAATTTCTAAGCTAAGGCCCGAACCATTCATCATTTGTGTGTAAGGTTGTATCAGGTGATTCTTAAATTGTTCTTAGGTGTAAAGGTCAATTCTTTAGTGTGGGAATTGATTTGGATATGAATTAAGGTCACAAGATTCCCCTAGCACAAAGTTGAGTTGAAAGCTTCCTTACCGATAAAGTTTTGACATAAGATTCTACTTAGGTCAACTTCAAACGATCTTATCTCTTTGTATATAATGAGTTAGGTGGCCCATAACCTATACGATTGCAGGTCTATAATTAATCTTTCCATAGACACCAAGTTCGCCTCATTTTAAGTTTGGAGTAAAATGTTATGACTGTTTTACAAGAGAATACCACAACAGAGTTTCCTGGGTCAATTCCTACGAATCCTTTCTATGGGCTGTAGAAGTTTCTACAACCCTTACGTTCAACTCATGCAAAAACTTCAGACAGTCAAATTTTAGGGCCCGATTTTTACGAATCTATCTATGGGTTATAGAAACTTCTATGTGTCGTAGTTTAGTCTCGTAGAATGAACTTTTGAGCCTTAAAATTTAATATGAATTAAATGGATTGGATCTATAGTCCGAAGAAACTTTTACGGGTTGTATTTTGGACCCGCAAAATGAAATTCTGTTTAGTATGAATTCCACGGATGGGATTACAGTTCGTAGATCAAACCACGAACTGTAGATGGCCCCGTGGAAGGTTTTTGACAACTTTTTAAGAAGGGTAGTTCAGTCTTTTTTCACCCATTCAAAACCTAATGTTTTAACACCTAAATAAGGTTTTAAATAGTATTAATTGACCCTATTACTCTCATTAACGCTGCAAAGTTTTAGAAAAAGGATCCAAGTGGAGAAAGCTAGGGTTTTCAAGCGTTCTTTTAGTTTTGCCAAAAACTTTATTCTTCCAGGTATGTAAGGCTAATCATAGTGATGGGCTGAGTTCGTCATCACTCCCTATATCTAAATTTAGTCAGTCAAATTTTAATCTAGGGTTATACCCTTAGTTTCAAGAATTGAGATGAGTTATATTATTGATTTCGAGTTCTAAATCTGTAATCATGAGTTGTTATATATTATACATTGAGATCTTTGAGTTGTTTCTCATGTTTATATCCCACATGAATCCTAATTTCCGAGTTTTGATTGAGAGTCTTTTGAACAAGCATCTTTTTGTCATAAATAAATTTTGAGAAGTTAAAAGAGATTTCAAGAGTAAAGTTTAAGCCTACTTTTAAGAAGAGTTTAAGGGAACTATATGATTCCCAAATGTATCATTTTTACATAGAGAAAGAGTATTATTTTAAAAAAAGTAAAGAGTTTTTGGAAAGATTGAGTACAAAGCAGTTACCTCTTAAATAGGTCCTTTTGATAACTTATCCCAGCCTGCGAGTATTTTTACATTGAGAATTGAGTTATATATATATATATACACGTAGAGTATTTTTAGAGTATTTAAAAATAGTTTTGAGTACCAACGGAAGCTGTTACCTTTGTGGTTAATTGAAAGAGGTGAAATTTATTGTGGTGTGTGTTGAAAGGAGAGCCACTTGTGTTTTAGATTTTCTTTACCTGAGTACAAGCAAAGTTTTTAAGTTGGGAGTGTTGATGAGTGGTCGATTTCCACTCATTTGAGGTTCTTTTTTTTATTAGTTTTGGCTTGCTTTAGGTAAGAATTGGCGCTTTTAATGTGGTTTTATTCATATTTGTAGGAAATTGAAATGGAGAGTTTATTTAGAAGATATTTGAAGTCAAGTGAAGTTGAGCCAAAAAGAAGTCAAAACAAAGAAAGTTAAACTGCCAGCTGATTACTCATCGCAACCTCGTGAAATAGGGGTCACAATCATGTTCAATAATATCTGCAGATTTAACGATCGCGTGGTCAGAGTTTGGGATCACATGACTCAACAACACTACTCATTGCAACCGCGTGAGTTAGTTGTCTCGACTGCGAAGAGTAAAAGCGGGCACCTAGGCAGAATTGGAATTTCACCAAATTGACTTCAAAAACTCTTATTATACTCATTAGTAGTCACTATTCACTATTCAGATGGTCATCTATCTAAGTTCATTCCATTCCTAGAGAATATTGTAGAGAGAAAACTTTGTAGAGTTCATATTTTGGGTTGAGACTTTGAAGGCAAGTTTCCTCATAATTCATCTTTTGTATTGAAAATTTTGTTCTTAATAGTAATATTCCTTATCCTATCTTCTTTCCCTTGCTTTATATTGCACGAATTGTGGATGTAATTGCTAATTAAAATTTAGATTTTGTGCTAGAAATAGACAATTTCATTGGGTATTTGATTTCTCATTCAATTGCTTTTGTAGTTGATTTCATGCTTCTATTCATGAAATGGGTTTAGAGCCCATCTGGACAGGCTAAAAAATAGTTTTTAAGTAAAAAAAATAGAAAGTCAAACTTTGAATGACTTTGAACTCAAAAAGTAAAAAGTAGGGGAAATCCTATTGTAACACCTCAAACTTTGAGAAAGGGCTAAAAAGGAAAATGGGTAAGACCACGAACCTAAAACGGACCATGAACCCTTCACGTCATCCTAGATGGGCCATTTATGGGTCCACGGTCTGGTAAGGGCTTCGTGAGTGAACATCCAAGACTACCCTGGCAGGGGTCACCTAGACGGTACCCTAGATGGTCCGTCTAGGGATTCACGGCCCATTAATGGCATCGTGAACCACCCTCCAGGGACTGCCTGTTAGGGAGTCACCTAGATGGTGCCTTTGACAACCTGTGATGACTTGGACGGTCCATCTAGGGGTCCATACAAGTCAACCAGATGGTAAGATTGCACCCAAGGCCATTGTGAAGGACCACAGATGCCTAGACGGTCCGTGAAGCTTCACACAGACTGTGAAGTCGTCCGTGAAATAGACTTATCAAACTTTGAGTTTTTGTTCAACTTCAAACGATCATATCTTTCAGCATAAAATGAATTAGGTGGATCGACCTATCAAATTAAAGATCGTTGAGTCCTCTTTCCAACACCACTAAATTTGCGTAATTTTGAGCATGGAGTAAAACGTTATGCTCATTTTAGTGAAGCCTTGTCAAGTAGGACAACATGACGACCCACTAGACGGGCCATCATGCCTTAGACGGCCCGTCAAGCCCCTCGTTAAGGTCACCTCGTTAGTTTCAAGTGAGGGTCATATTGGTCTTTTCCCCTTTGCATTTGGTACTTAAAATACGTCGTTTGGTAGTTAAACATCGTTTTACTTCATCTAAGCCTAGTACTTTAGTCAGAAACTACCTAAAACCTTCATTATCCTAAAATTATCTAACTTAGAAAGAAAAAAAGAGAGAGGCGACAATTTCTTCTAAGAACAAGCAGAGGTCTTCTTCAAGTTCAGCCCCGAAATCCAAAGGATTTATCCATAATTTTCTTCATCAGGTATGTGGGATTTCACTAGTGGATTCCTTTCCCCTATTAGGTACCTAGAATTCAGTCAGTTCTTTAGCTTCTCCATAAATTGTTAGACATAAGGTTCCTAAATCTTAGGGATCCATTGTATTTAGCTGCTATAGTTTCTATGATGTTAATTACATGTTTCTTGGAAAATTAGTATAGTCCTATGTATAAAAATAAAAAACCCAAGTTGTGTTAATTATTCATATTTCATGAATTATACTTGCTAGGCAAATTAGTCAGATAATCCTGGTTCAGAATTTGAATGCCACATCTTTCAGTATATGTATGTTGAATTCTCAGATAGTTATGTATTTTGAGCTACTTAATATTTTAGTTGCATTTTATCTTTATATTCACTTGGGAGTAGCCTTAGCACTAAGTTGAACTAGGGTTCATCGTACCCTCAAGTCCCAGAACTATGTGCCATAATAGGTTTACAAGTCCCCTCTGTTGGGCATCTGTTGTAGTGATCACACCACAGTCATGCCTTTATACTGTGACAAGGTATATTGGGTCCTCTCGATGGGGGATATACATCGGACTCCACGTTTAGCTACGTGGTTTATGTCGGTTAATAGTATCTCCCACAATCAGATTCATGTTGCATTGACCAAGTATTCAGTATTTATTTTAGTATTTAGTTCAGCATGTTATCTTCATGATTAGTACTTGGTCACTCCATCTAGCTCAACTTTCAGTTATGCTTCAATATATCTATTTCCATGTTCAGTTTTTATATTGTTCAGCTTAGCATCTATCCCACATTCTCAGGACATTCAAAGTACTAACGCATACTCTTGTGC